CAAAAGTCTTTCAGTGGGGGGGGGTCTTTAGTTTGTTTTTTTTTTTTTTTATAGAATTACATTACTAACAAGCAGGGATAATTTGATTTTCTTGTTTCCTGTTTGTATGCCTTTTTCTTTGTCTTTCACAATTTCTGAATTATGTTCAATTCCACATGGCTGAAATTTCTGTTTCTATATGAAATGAGAGTGGTTAGAGTGAAGCCTGCTGTCTTATATCTGATCTTAGTCAAAATGCTTTCAGTTTTTCCTTTCATTGTGACATTGACAGTGGGTTTTTTATGTATAACCATTGAGACAATCTTTAAAAACAAACAGGACCATTCTGTGGACCAGCACAAGCTGGTCTTGAATTTACTGCAATCCTCCTGCCTCTGCCTCTCAAGTGCTGGAATTACAGGTGTGCACCACCATGCCTGGCTTAGAGATATGATGTTTCTATACTTAATTTGCTTAAGGCTTTTATCATGACATAATGTTAGATTTTTATCAAATGTTTTGTCTGTGTCTGTTGAGATAAGATTTTACCCATTATGTTTGTGTTATGAATTATGTTTATTAGTTTGTGTGGGTAGAAACACATCCTTGCATCCCTGGAATGAAACTAAGTTGATCATGGAATATGATTTTTTTGATATGCATTAAATTTGATCTGCCTATATTTTGTTGAGGAGTTTTGACTCTGTGTTCATCAGAGATATATTTTGTTGTTGATGTACCCTGGACAGATTTTGGTACATGGTTATGTTGGCATCATGAAATGAGTTTGGATCAATTTCTTCTCATTAAATTCTATGTATGTTTTGAGGAATAGTGGTGTTAATTTTCCTTTAAAGGTTTGGTAAAATTTGGCAGTGAAACCACCTGGTGCTGGGTTTTGGTTGGGAGACTTTTAGTTTGTTGGGAGGCACTCAGGATCATTACATGTTATTAGCCTTGGCATTTTAAAAAAATAACTTCTTGGTTCAACTTTGGTAGGTCATATGTGTTCAGAAATTTGTTCATTTCCTCAAGATTTTTGTACAGATTCAGTTGTAATGCCTTATTTTCTAATTCTAGTTTTATATTTCTGAGTCTTCTTTTTTTTCTCCTTTTGGGCCTGGTTAAAGATGTGTCAATTTTGTTTATCTTTTCAAAGAAACAACTGTTTGTTTTGTTGCTCTTTTATACTGCCTTTTGGATTTATTTCTGGCATGATGCTTTTTATTTCTTCCCTTCTACTAATTTTGGGTTTGGTTTGTTGTTGTTTTTCTAAGTTATTGGGAGACATTATGAGATTGTTTGAAATGTCCTGCATTTTTGATGTAGGCACTCATTATTGAACTCTCTGGGTTTTAATATGTTGTATTTTTATATATTTATTTCAATTTTTTTTAAGTTTACCTTTTGATGGTCCAGCAACCAACTGTTTGCTCAAAAGCTTATTTGTTGTTTAGTCTCCATGTATTTAATACTGCTTAGGTATTTGTTATTGATGTTCTAGTTTCATTTCATTTTACAGAAAAGATGCAGGGTATGATTTGAAATTTTTGAATGTAAGACTTGTTTTGTGGCCTAACATATGGTCCACTCTAGAGAAAGTTCCTGGTGCTGATGAAAAAAAATACGCATTCTGCAATTATTGGGTGGAATGTTCTGTTACTGTCCAAGTACATTTGCTCTGTGGTATAGTTTAAATTTCTTGTTTCTTTATGGATATTTTTGATCTGGATTATCCACTCATTGGTGAGAATGGGATATCAGAATCCCCTACTTGTTTTTCATTGGTGTCTACCTCTTCTTTTGGGTCCAATAGTTGGTTTAAGGAGTTGAGTGATCCAGTATTAGGTGTGTATAAATTTATAATCATTGTATCTTATTGATGATTCTTTGATCATTTGGTAGTGACTATCTTTATCTCTGGTAGTTCTTGTCTTAAAGTCTATTCCATTAGATGGAGTTATAGTGATTCCTTCTCATTTTATAATTCTATTTGTCTAGATTTTTTTCCTGTTCTTTCAGTCTCAGTATGCATTTGCTGGTAAAGTAGTTTCTTGTAGGTAACATATTGTTATATATGTTTAAAAAATCCTGTTTGGCAATGTGTATCCTATTAGGAGTAAAATAGTCTATTTACAGTTAGGCTTATTATTGATGTTACAGAATTATGCTTGTCACTCTGTTGTGGTTTTTTTCTAGTTGTTTTGGAACTTTTTTCTTGTTTTCTTCTCTTACTCACCCTTATGCTTTGATGGATTGCTATATTGGTAATATTTGATCTTTTCCCATTTTTCTTCAGTTTATTTATTCTTCTAGTGGACTTTATATTTTCACATGCCTTCATAATGGTAGTTACTTTTCTCTTACCTCTGGAAATGGGACTTCCTTAAGTATCTTTCGTAAGATTAGTTTGATGGCCATGAAGTTCCTAAGTCTTTGCTTTTTTTGGAAGGTCTTTATTTTTTTATTATTAATGAAGAATAACCTTGCTGGGTATAGTAATATTATTTGGATGTGATCTTCTTCCAGAACTTGGTTGTAGCGTTTCTGCTAAGAAATGTGCTGTTAGTCTGATCGGATTACCCTCGATGTGACTTGGTACTTGATCTGGGCAGACTTTAAATCTTTTTCTTTTTCCAATACTTTTGACAGTTTGACTCTAATATGTTATGGTGAAGTTTTTGTCTGCTTATACCCAGTGGGGATTGCACAGTCCTCCTGGGCATCAACTGTACAATGTCAAGAAATGTTCCTGCTCTTATTTCATTAAATGAGTTTTCTATGCCCACAATCTTTATCTCTTGGCCTTCAAATATTCCAGAGATGTGGATATTTGATTGTTTAGTGCTCTCTAAAGATCTTCTCTAGTCATTTTATTCTGTCTTATGCTTTCTCCCCCCATGAATGTGATATTTCAAGGGTCTGTCTTCAAGCTCTTGATGTAGTCTGCTACTGAGGCTTTTTACTGAATTTTTAGATTTGAGTTCTTAATTTGCAAGATTCTTGTCTGGTTCTTTTTCAAAGTTTCTGTCTTTTTTCTGAGTTTCTCATTTGTACCCCGCATCATCTTCCTAATTTTGTTTAGGAGCCTCAGTACCCGCTCTGTGATGCTAACAGCCAGTGCTGACAGCAGTGTGTGGCCAGTTCAGCAATGGCTGCTGATGGGAACTGCTAGGTAGGGAAACAGCAGAAGGGGGGATTCCCCTCCTGGCTGCTCAGCAGCAGGACCTCAGGCCTTCCAGGTACCCAGCCCTGGGAAGCAGGTAGCAACAGAGGCTCTCCCTCCTCACCCTGTCAGGGAAGTGCTTGCCTGGGAGTGGGCAGATGTGGGTCATGTCTGGGATTGGCAAATTTCCAGCCAAAGATTTCTTTTGCTTTTCATGGCCAGGAGCAGGTGGTGTCTGGGGCTTCTGTGCTTGTTACTCTCTTATTTAAGGTATCCATGGAGGTGAACCAGCAACACTGAGTAGAGTATTTCCTTGTACTGGTTATTATCTGGTTAATTTTGGGTGCCTTATTTTTACTGCAAGGGAGGTCTTGGTTTCCTTTCAACAGTTCTTTAAGTGCTCGATGTGCAGTGTCATGTGAGCATTGAAGAACTAGATATTTATTTGACTTATTTCAATCTCTCTTTGTGGTTGTCTTTCCCAATCAACATGTTTTAAAAATTATTTTTCTATAATTTAGACAAATATTTTTTCTTTAAATACAAATTTATCTAAAAATATGTCTTATCTGAGCATAAAATTAGCTGTATTCCTTAGAATTTTAAATGTAGTAGCTTCATTTTCTACTGTTTGTAATTATAGTGTTTATTCTCCATTTGATCTAAGAATTATTATTTAAAAAGTTTTTAAATGCCATTAAAGATTCATATTATCTGGGACTTTTCCATTTATTTCTACTTTTATTACATTGTAGTCTGATTGTACATACTTGAAATATTTCAGTGCTGTAAGTATAAAAGTTAGTGATTGCCTTAGCTTTACTGTGGATTGTGCTAGTCATCATAAAATGGCATTAAAAATCTTCAGTGAGTTTTCATTTCTAATTTTAATATCACTAGTCCTGCTTTCTTTTCATTTGTCTCTGCCTGGTATAGCTCATCTTTATTTCCAAAAAATCGCTTCTTTTTGGTTCAGGAATGATCGAAGCAAAATATAATTTTGATTGCTTTTAAAAAACTAACTCTGATGACCTTTTTAGTTGAAAAAGTAAAGTCATTCAATTCTTCTGTGTCTGTCACTTATTATTTAACACAGTCCAGCACTGCTTTTGGTTTTGTATGTATATTGGTCATGATGCTCTTATTTTCTTCATTTTCATTATTTATTCTGCTTTGTCACAATTTTGTCACTTCTTCTGCTGATATTTTAAATTTATTCACAGTAATTCTAGACTATTGCATTTTAAAACTTATGCCTTTACTTGGTTGCTGCTGTAATGGTTAACTAGAATCTATGGGGCCTTCTCCCTCTTCTTGGGTGACGCAGTTGTGTAAGAATGCAATCCCTTTATCTTCTGTAGCTTATTCAAATAATCTGGAATGTCATTGTGGGCACTGTCATCTTTATGATATGAAAATTCTCTCTTAAGAATTTATTCTTAATATTTACATTAAACTTCTGAAGCACAGTAACAACTAGTGAGTGATACAGAATAAACATTGTTTTATTTGGTTCATTTTCCCCCTTAATCACTCTTGCAGATATGTGTCAGGTAGTTTTCATGTTTTGGGGGAATGTGAGATCACCCCAACTCCAGGGAAGGCAGATGCGTATCTTTGCTAAACCTTTGCAGTATTTGAATAATTTAGATGTGAATACCTTTATGTGAGCCATGCTCCCTGGTTCTCCACAGTGCCCCTGGCTCCTTCCTGCTACACAAATGCTTGTGCTTATGGACTCTCCCCTAGAGATTCTAAGATTACATAAATTCAGATATCCCAGTGTTTAAAATATGATTCTGTACTCTTACGATGGGTGGCATTCTGCATTATGTCTTTTTTCTCTTTGACTCAGGCTTTGGAAGACCGGGTGTGGGAACTCCTGCAGGAAGCGGACAAGACTGCAGAAGAGAACAAGGATCAGAGTCAGGTCTACGATGCCATGGCCCAGACCCTGGGTGACGCGTGGGCAGCGCTGGTCTCCATGCTTGAAAGAAGAAGGGAGCTCCTTAGGTTAACCTCTGAATTTTTTGACTATGCCTTGGAGGTTTGTATTTTAAAAACTTTCTTTATCTCAAAGCAAATCAAGAATATTCCAGAAAATGTTTTATTCTTGAAAGTAAATTTTGCAATCAATTTAAAAAGTGGTTACAACAACTGTTAAAAAATAAAACTGTTAAAATTTTAAATGTAAGTCTTCAAACAAAACTTAAGGATAGCTGGTTAAAAATTAAGTAAAATTTAAGTAAAAATAGGACCTCTTAAAAATCATTGTGCTTTATTTCTTTCCTTAAAAAATAGAAATGCATTTACTAATCACTTAGTTTGAATATAGGGTCATTAGGAAATTCTGATCTAGGGCATCTTTACTGGCTTGAAGTTAGAGTTCTACTGCTAATAAAATAGCAACAGCAGGCTAATGTTTGCCCTGTAAATGTAGCATTATATAGAGTATTTTCTTAAGTTATATCTAGTTAATTTTTCACGGTTTGAGCTCATTAAAATATAAGGGAAGGAAAAAATCCTGGACATAAGACAATTTGGCTATAATTTGTCTTGCTTTCTGCAAGTTTTTTGAAGCTTCATGATTCAAAATGGGAGACTCAAAGAACATGACCAAAAAAAGGTGTTCTATTTTGTGTAATTCAGTTATTGGCAGTTTCACCTTTACCTTCCCTGTCAAGCGGCAGCACGTTTATTCTGATGGGAGAGTGCTGCTTCATTATGATAAAGCACTAGCTGGGGAAAATATGACATTTTAAAATGTAAAACTCAGGACTTAAATCCAAAACAATGAAGGAGAGAAGATTAGTACTAGAACATAAAAACTGAGGTAGACAATCTCATGCATCATGAACTCATTTAAAAGCAAAAAGGAAAAAGGAAAAACCTTATTGTGACTTTAAAGTTTTGTTCTTCATACCTGGAACCTTGAAGTCCAGCTCACAGTTCATTTTACAGAGCACCTTGGGAAGAGTCCCATGCACAAGCTTCTTTCTTGAAAAGAAACAAAGCACCTGAAACATAGCTTACAGAAGCCAAAGGATAGCCAAGTCATTGCATTTTAGTAACTGAAACAAAGCTATCAACTTCCTTTTAAACTAGGCTGAGCACAGGAAACTGTCTTTTTCCTAACATCAGGCTCAGTATTTGTTTCTTATGTGTTTTAGTATTAATGCTAGCTAATTTTATCCATAGTGTAGAAATTATTTACAAAGATTGCCGTGGAGTAAAAATAGTCAAAGGATTGCAGCCCTACGTTCTTAATCCTACACTGGGGTGAAGCTTTGTTTGATCTAGTGAAATGACTAAATGTTTCTGTATTACCCTGTTTCCAATTGTGTGGACCATTTGACCACGCAGAAAGCAAACTGCGACGTAATCTTCAGGCCCCTTTTGTGTGCTATAGCAATTTTCATTAGTGACAAAAAAGAAGAGGGTAAAGTTAATAATAAGCTCTTTTAAATGTTTCCCTGTTGCACTTCTACTCTGCACAAGCTGTAAAAGAAAAAGATGCCCATAAGAAAATACCCATAAGACAAAATTAACGAAATATCAGGGAAACTTTTTCAAGTATTATTTGTTTATTGATTTATTTTTTAAAAAAACTTTGATTAAGAATCTGAAATGTAGTTATAAATTATACAGTGACTAAAATTTCTTGTACTATAACAGGAAAAACAAATCATCTGTGGATAGTATTTTGTCTTGTTTTATTTTATTTTGTTTTGTTCTCTCTGTGTGTGTGTGTGTTTGTATGTGTGGTTTTTTTGTCTTAGAAGAATATAAAACCACTTATTAGAAACTGAATGAATGAATGGATGGCAGATGGAAATACTGGGTGAATATGATCCCTTATTGAAATATATATATGAGAATTCTTTATAAAACAAGTTGCTCTTGTACAGTTGAGGATTAATAGAAGCAAATTTCCGGGTGATACATTGTTTTTGGAAACCTGAGCTACAGTTTGGAAGCTGCATGCACATGACGCTGTCAGGTCTCCCTCGGGTCACCGTATCAGGACCCCAGAGGTTTCACTGCATTTCAGTAGGGGTCATGTGCGTCTGTCTCTTTTAACCTTTCCTGCCATTTATCACTGGACTTTATGCAGCTGTTGAAGCAATCAAAATGCAGTAGCCCTGATTAATCAGATAATTATATAAAATATTAACAAGCATCAAATTAAAAATAATAGTTTAGAGAAATTTGAAGGAGAGGACAAATACAATAGTGGCCTTCTTTTTCTTTCTGATCCTTTTCCTTTATTATTCTTCCCCCAAACCTAACCCAAAGGTGAATGTATTAGTTAACATGATCTTTATAATAATTTCTATTGAATTTTAAATGCTAAAACAAACCAGCTGTTTGTGTGCCATTGTGTTGATAATTGTAATAGCATAGCCAAGTATGTTTTGCCTTATTCTAAAATTTGTTTCTAAAATTATGTGTCTGAGATTTTTAACTTCACTTCAGGAATTCTTGTTCCTCTCATGAATACTTGGTGAAAAAAAAGAGTTCAATCATATCGCTCATATTTAGGGTGCTAAACTAGTGTGCATTCTCCTTTGAAATGGAAGCAAACATTTTCTACTTTTCATTCTTGCTCTAGCTAATCTCACCTGAATTTATATGAATGATAAATATTATTGATAAAAATGCAAATAAAATTGCAATTATATCTTCAAAGCTAAAAGTTTACCTTTCTTCACCTGTTCCTAAGCCCATTCCTTCTGATAAAGATGAACATTTGGTGTGTGTCTTTTTAGACCACTTCCTGTATAAAATGTATATGTTTTGGTTTGTATTAATAATGGGATTAAACTATGTATTCATCTAAAACTGTAAGTTTTACTTCTGAGTTTAACCATAGAGAAAGATAAGTATATATAAATCTTCTAAGTTTGTTAAGTTAAATTTACTTGAGTTCAAATTTGTTGGTAACCTAGCAAACTTTCTGCTTATTCTTTGAGAAATTGCCTTGAATATTGAAAGTAGAAGGATTTATTACACAGAATACAGTAATTTTAGTTGAAAAATTTAACAGACATTCAAACAGTAAACAAGCTAATTTATTTCAGCATGTATGATATATTTCTAGGAATGAAGGAAATCTGAAGAACCATGAGATACTGTTAATTAACCATATCCAAGCAGACACATTCAAATACTCCAAGGCAGCACACACACACACACACACACACACACATACACATCATCATGCACACAGAGACACACACAAACATCTACATACAAACTCAGAGAGGCCATTAGTTCATGAAAAACACTTATGAATAACTAGCAGCATCTGTTGATTGTTATTGCCTTCATATGCTTGCCTCTTATGCTTGTGTTGTAGTTTGCTATCAAAATAGATCAAGCTGAAGATTTCCTCCAGAATCCTCCTGAGTTTGAGAGTGCTGAGGCCTTAAAATTACTTCTTCACCTTCATGAGCATCACACCAAAGGCAAGAAATATGTTATTCTTCACCTAAATTTTAAAAGTTTCAGAAGATGGTACTATGAGAATGCTTATATATGTGTATTTTAAATTTATTCCTTATGTATATTTCAACTTATTTCAAGCAATGATAAAGAAAACTATTTTTGGTCACCTTGGGAAAAAAGGCACTAGTTGTGAGTGATTTTAAGGGCTGTTAGAGAAGAAAGATTCATTATCTGGTCTTCCAGATCTGAATTCCTGAGGACAGGGGCTGTGTCCCCTTGCATCTAATGAGGGACCCTGCCCCTGGTGGGCCCTCAGGAGTTGCTCCATTGAATTTGGGGAATGTTCCTTCCAAGGGTCAGTGAATGAAGGCCAACTTTACATGGCATCTGAGACTAAGGAAAACTTTACCACAGAGAGAGAGACAGAAAGAGAGAGAGAGAGAGAGAGAGAGAGAGAGAGGTGAGAGGAGAAACTTTTTCCAGATAAAAGCTTAATGAAGATTCCAACTCCCTCTGAACAACTATAAAGATAACTTGTTGCTAAACTCCAATTTGTACACCACCAGGGCTGCATAGGATTGGGACAGGAAAGGTTTTGTCGAAAGGAGTTGTAACTGTCATCTTTGTCTATAAAAGTGGAGTAAATAAATAGGTAGAAAAAGTCAGCTTTTTCTTCCTAATGTGTCTTTAGTAGAACTGAGTATGAGTGAAATGACTTCCTCAGTTTATTTGTCCCCATTCTAACTTGGTTTTTAACTCCACGACGTTAGACACTAGACAAGAATGAGGGGCAATTTAAAGACATTTATATTTGTATAAGCTTCCAAAGGACCCTGGATAGTAGATCAGTATGATAAATTACTTAGCACGAAGACAAAGATTAAGGGTTCAATCTCGCTTGCATACATTTTTATGAAAGTTTACCAAATACACATATTGCATTTTAACTAATGTTTGTTCTGTTAGGACTTCTGGGTGATGAGGTTCATCATCAAGGGCTCTGCCTGAAAGCAGTGGCTCCCCATTTTCACAGAGCAGAGGCAATCTAACTGGGTTCCACTGGTGTGAGCACAGTCGCAAGAGATTCATGCTAGGAGAAAAAGTGAATGGATTCTAGGTTAACTGCAATGGGTTCTCTGGTCTGAGTTCTATCTTCATCCAACCGACATGATCATCACACAGCAATTTTACCGCTAGAAACTAACAGTGACTGAAGGTTTTGTGGAAGATGTTTGTTACTAGGGCAATATAGTACAGCCTTTTCCTAGACTGGGCTTTAGGGAAGTAGCAAATTTTCCATAGCTATTTGGAGATGGAACTGGAAGGGCAAAAAGGTATAAATGCCCTTTGTTTGGTGTTGTTGCTGGCTCCTTCAAAGGTAGTGAATCTGAAGAAGTGAGCCGGCTTGCATGGTGTATTCTGTTCTAATTTAGAGGCATTAGGCTACACTGTGCTGACATTTAGCTGACGGTGGAACTGGCGTATTGCATTTTAAGAGTCTTTAAGAGTCGACTTGTCTCCCTCTTAGTTTGAGAGTATATAAAAATACTACCCAAGGTAGGAGTGACTGACTGTGAATTCCTGTACTCTCAGGACTTTGAGAGGCTGAGGCAGGCGAGTCACAGTCTGAGCACAGCCTAGGCAATTTAGCAACTTGGCAAGACAAACAGTGCAAAGACTCTGGGTATAATCTGTATTATGGAAAAAACTGCCGGCCAAGTTAGGTGTGGTGTGCATATCTACAGTCTAGCACTTGGGAAGCTGGGGTAGGAGAATCACAAGTTTGAGTCTCACCTAAACAAACTAATAAGCCCCTATCCCAGAATAAGAAATAGAAGAGTTAAAGATGTAGCTCAGAGCCCAGGTCTTGGCTTCAATGCCCAGTATTACAAAAACAAAAGAAGGAACAAAAAATAAAAATCTATACAAAGACAGGGAACATACTTTATTTTTATGATGACAAAATATTCTTCTAGCCTAGTGGCATATTTAATTGGGACATTAATTGGGACATTTTGGTGCCCATCTATGTGATCCTCAAAGTGCTAGGGTCACAGAGGGCTGTGCATGTGATCCCTGGCTCCCAACGGTGGCTTCAAGGATTTTGTTTTGATAAAATGAGAGTTGATGAAATCTACTAATCAGCTAACTCAGAAGGATGTGATTGAGATTAGCTGACTTGAAGTGCATATTAATGGATAAGATTCTGATTTTTATTTAAAGAGTTTGTGTCTATTATCTTTACATTTAAAGAACTAACATTCTAAATGTGCAGCTATCAGTTCTAATAAATTTCTGAGATGCTGACCAATTGAATAGTACAAAAAATGAGTGTAGATTGCATTATGTTAAATGCTAATAATGTACCTGGACTTTATTTCACTCTGAGTTTCTCAAAAAAGAGAACTCAGGCATTATATAAACCTGTGTGTCTGATTTATTTTACTTAGTATTATAGCCTCAAGGTACATCCATTTTCATACAAATAAACCTAGTCTATCCATCCGTATTTTGGCAATAGTACTCCATGTGTGTAAATACCTCATTTTCTGTATCCATTCATCTATTGATGGGCACGGAGGCTGCTTCCAAGATTTTGCTACTCTGAATTGTGCTGCTGTAAATGTGGGTACTCATGATTACTGCAATGTGAGGTCTACGACTCTTCTGAGAAGACCCCTACAAGGGGAATATTGGGGCAAATGGCATTTCTAGCTTTAGTTTTTTTGGTGAATGTCTGTACTGTTTCTGGAGTTAGATCATTCTTGGCAGGAAGTGGACACAGAATGAAAATAAGGAATGTGTCGTGTGCGTGTACCTGCTCCACACAAGGAAGGTAAACATGATGTACTGCAAATATATACAGAAAAAAGGAAGGGGTAAAGGGATGGGCGGTGTGGTAGGGAGAGGAGGGGAAAGGGAATCAAGGTGTGCTAGGTCCAACTTTCCACAGGAATGTACCATATACACTTGTACAATAAGCAAAAATAATACAAAGGAAATAACACGGAAGAGAACAAAAAGGCCAAAAAAAAAAAAAAAAAAAAGTACCTGGAAACATAATCAGTCTTGTCCTAATAGCTGCTTGATTTCATTTACCCTCACTTATGGTTTTCCCTTATTCGGCAAAGCTCGGGCCGGGCAGCGTGTAAGAAAGTTGTTCTGTAACATTGTGGGGGTCAGAACCAGGCTCGTGCCTTGGAGTTTGTACCCTCTGGAATCCTACAAGAAAGGTCTGTTCCTCCACTCGGCAGCTTTTGAAAGAACTGAGGAATAAAACACCCTCTCCCGCGCTCTCTCCTTAGGCCTAACTGTGCCCACCTTAAGTTTCTGCCCAGCAGACATTGCTTCCAGACCACTTACCAGCCTGGTTGCCCTCAGGTCAGCAAAAGGCACTTGCACCAAATGTTCTCAACTAGTACCTGGCAGGATACCAAGAGCCATGTCAGGGAGAACCGGGGGGGGGGGGGGGGGGGGGGGGGGCAGGCCTGAGGAGGTTACTTCTCAGCAGGGTGCGTGCCACTCGGCAGGGGCTTCCTCCCGTGCTTCTTAGTTGTCGGTCACACTCCCCATAGCACTGTGTAGCAATAATTTATTTCCTTACTTCTCTCCATCACCAGATTATGAGAGCTTGAGTAACAGGGATTAGTGTATCGCTAATCTCTAGGATGGAGAGCAGTCTCTAGCCAAAAAAAAAAAAAAAAAAAAGATACACACACACACATATATATATATATGAGTATCTTTTGAATGTAATTCTTTTTTATTTAAAGAAAAAACAGATAAAAAGGGTAGAAACAATACAGAATTTCAGAAAAAAAAACCAGTAAGAAATCACCAGTTGATAAGTTACATACCATCATCTTAGAAATAGTTGCTCGAGTTACAAAATTAAAGCATACAAAGTGATATTCAAACAATGACACTGAAAACAGTTCTGCTCAGTGATCCAACAAGAAGTTAGTAATATGGTTATCAGTCCTACACACTTGTTTTTTATCTTAAAAAGGGTAAGATTAAACATATCAAAACAGAACAAAACAGTTTATAAGGAAACAATTTAAAGAAACATAGATTTCAAAGCAAGTTCACTGTATGTCTTATTTTTTCTAGTTTTCTTCCAAGTACTTGTCCCCATCTTCACACACATTGAATATATACTAAACATTATAGAACTAATCAGATCATTATAGGATGATCAAGGATTTTTAGGTCTTCAAGACCTGATTTTGGGGAAGTCAATAATGTCTACCATAATGTTTCTCAGTCTCTTTGTAGTAGCTGTCTTTATCTACATATGCTGAAATTGAACATAAGAGACTACACTAATATCACTCTGAACAGTGAACGATAGATAGTATTGTTAGATTTCATATCATAATGCTACAGAATTAGCATTGGGTTTCTTAGTGTCTCTTCTTCAGAGCATCTGTTCATTACATCATGTGTTATATAATCTGTTCCTGTAAGTAGTTTAGAAATTCTTCCCATGTGTGAATCTCTACATGTATGTCTATCCTTTCTGTATTACAGGGAAAAACAGATCAAAACAAGATAACAAAATAAATTCCTAGAAAAACATGAAATGTAAAAGACATATAGGTCCACAATATTAGGTGATCTACAGTAGTTATTATGCTTTCTCTTGTTATTTTCAATAGAATTGTCCACATCATCAGGCATAATATAATTGAACATAACATTACATAGCTATTTTAATAAAAACATAACTTTGAAGATATTGTAGGACTTGAAAGCAGTTAATAATCAAAACCAGAATGGGTATCTTTTACATCATGTCATCTTCAGAGTAGTTGTCTCCACTCCCAGACTTGATACTATCAAGCATACCAAATTCGAATGAAATCAATCGAGGCTAAACAGCGGTCTAACAAATGAGCTTCAAATAAGATCAGTCATAGTAAAACAATGTAAGTAATACAGGGTTTCAGTGTAAGTTAATAGGAAATTCAGGATAGTTACTGTGGTATAACCTGCTATTTTTGGATTAGCTGTCTGT